ACCAACATCGAAATAATCGACAGATACAATGGTAATAGAAGATTAGACATTGGCGAATCACTACATATCAAGCAACCCTAATCACATTCGTGTATATTCTCTTGTCAACAAGACGAAGATAGAATATCCACCACACATTGCCCCAGCCAACATAAAAAACATTAAAGATAAGATCCGTAGAAGACCTATTAGCCCATGTACCTTAAACATTATCTTATATTTTTTTGGATACATACGTGGTTGCTGGCGCTAATTGATATCCACTTGTACTATGCCGTGCATCACAGCTGCCCCTCGATATAATCCTTAGCGAATCGGATAGCTTTGATATCCTTTGCATTATGCGCTTTTGTTCTCGTATTGACATCTTTAGTGAAATTTAGCACCTTTTGACTATCCCGCATATTTGATGGTGCTACATAGCTTTCCCAGCTTGGTGCCTTCTTTTTATAATTACGTATTTGAGCTCTGTCATTGCAAATGTTGAGAAGATCAACCAAACGTTTCTCTTAGCGTCAGACCACATAAAACTGAAAAATTACCTTCGGAGTTAATTTTTTTAGCCTCTTTCTCAGGATCAATATTTAAAATTGTCAAGAAGACTTCCAAGGAATCATACGAGTTTACTTGGAATATTTCGATATTTAAAGGTGTAAAGTAAATTAAGATTTTCGTTTTATGTAAACCGATTTATAAGATATAAACGAATCGTCTCTCTGCTCAAATAGATTGTTGATTGTCCTATTCACCTGGGCTCTAAGACATTCGAACCCTGGACCCCTCTTGTGTGAAGCCGAAGCTCTATCGACCGAGCTATTGAGTAGACTTAATAAGGAAAATTATCTATACTATAAGAACATATAGTGTTGACTGTAGAGACCACAGTGCAAGATGAGTTTGAGAGAGATGACCCAGACACTCCAGAATTCACGTGTGTAAGCTTGGTAGTCACATGTGTCCCCCTCGCCCACACCTGCTACTCTTGTGGCAACTGACAACACTGACACGAGGCAGAGATGAGGGATTAACAGAGGGAGGGATTAAAGCAGGGTTTAGGATTCTCTCGAACGTAGGTTCGAACCCTCGTTACGGCCCTTGTGGATTTGTTCGTGAGGGACTAACTATTGTATCTTAACAGTCCGTCTCCTCCAGAGACCACGATGACTCTGTGGTGAATGTTATCATCAATGACGATAACATTTGATGAATATAAACAATGTTTTAAGATGAGTTTTTGATGGGGACTTTTAGAAGTCGCTGTGGCCGACGTAGAAACTACAGCAGACACACTTGCTTTGCATTACGGGAATTGCAATAACTTATTACTGCAGGAGTTGCGATAGCCGATGTGAAAACTGCAGTAGCCGCTAGCCTATCACTGCAGGAGATGATCTTGCAAGTGGGGATGCTACAATAGACTGCAGCCTCTGCAAGATGATCTCATAAGACTGGAAGCTGCAGTAGCCAACAGTTTCTCAGGCCAATAACAGTTGTGGCTGGCGTTGATGTGGCAGTTAACTACCACCATCACCACCATCATCACCACCAACCCCATCACACTGGGGAGATACCTACCCACCATACCACCACCTGGACACGATACCAATAACACAAAAATAACCTCCAAGATGGCACCGTTATGTCAGCCGACTTGTGCTACATCACTGGCAATGCCCACTGATATTGTACCACGAATGAGGTTTAGCAAAGGTGTCTTATTAAGGTAATTGGAGTCGTCTATAACACATGCAAAAATGAGTTTTTTTTTAACAACGATTATCAGTACCAATGAATGATTTGATATATCATGGGATAATTACATCCACGGGCGGTTCTCGGTGACTACTGCAGCAAGAGAATGACGACATTTAGCGTGATACAGTCACATACACGTGACTTCATCACGTGTATGTGACTAGAAAAAAATGTCACAAAAACGTGATATATATCTACCAGGCAGTCTTTGGAACATGATGGAACCGGAGTTGAGGGTCACGACCCCCAACGTGCGCCTAACCCACTGACATCCAGATGGCTAGCAGGTCTGGAAGAGAAGGAAGGGGAATCCAGGTGGCATAACTTCTATTATATGGTGATCCATGGATCATGGCGCGCGTCTGAAGTTACCAGGATGCTGGGTCGATCCGTCCCTCCTGCTGTAAAGATTTTCTTGTGGTCTGGGTCAAGTCAGAGTAGCAAGCTGCTTGGTGTACCCTTGACACGTAATGAAGGATGAAGATTTCAAACATCAGATACAGGCGACTTATATAGTGATCAAAATAGATCCAAACAATTAAAAATATTAATCAAGAGAAACGGAAAGGCGAGTTTCGTAACAAAAAAAGACATTAAGCAATTACTGACTTTTGCAATATTCTGGTACTCGTGATTTTATGTGAAAAATTGGCTGAAATTGCTCAAAATTTCTTACCTTGTCTTTGACATTATGTAATTTTCCAAGGAGATAATAATGGCGGCCAGATGGAAACAAAACGTAAAAGTTCACCGACTCAAAACAAAACAAAAAATCAAAACACCTTGACAAACATTTAATTGTAAAAAAAAAATATAATAATTTTTGTTTATAACTATCATTTGAGACCAAAAGAAGTCTTATCTTATCAACCAATGTAATAAAAAAACAAGATTTTATAGCCAATTAAAGAGCAGTATTTACATGTCAACTTTTTTGGATCTCAGACGTCTCTCACCTCCACAAAACTTTGCTCTATAAAACCGAACCAAAACAGCAAAATCTTGTTACATTCCATGAGACCCGAAGAGCATTCTCAGAGCCTTTATCTATGACGCCTCAAGCACGGTTGAACGCCAATCCTGGATGATCCGGCTTCTCAAGATAATCCCTTAAGAGGCAGATAGTTCGAGTTTAACTCACCTATTGAATAAATATTTCACATATGTGTTTCCATATATATATTTTTTTGTCATTGTTTATTAGTATTATTATTCTAATAAATATGAGCCAGGCAAAAACTTTCGCGTATAATGAAAGATAATCACTTGCCATATATATAAAGTCCTTTTGGAATTCGTCTGAGGATGTCAGATATATTACAGGTTTATGTTCCAGACGCGATTGATTCATGACATATACAGGCTGCAACGCGAGAGCCAGATTGTCATGATCAATTTCGAATACACCTTTCATTGAGCGTGACACCAATCATGAAGCGTGACAATCTTACATGAAGCGTGACATCTTGAGAGAAGCATTGTGACACATGAGCAGTAAACCTCTCCTACGGTCGTGACACATGACACAGGTTTACTTTCATGGGGTAGTGTCAATTACACTTGGCCTCTCCTACGTTCTTGACAACTGCCGCCGGCACGTGCCGCCTTGACACATTGACAGCTACCAGCATCCCCCCTTCGACCTGTCCAGACCACATGACTGCACTATTTGCCTTGAGGAAGATCTTCCTGAGCATCGGGAAGATCCTGACACTCGGCAAGTGTCAGGATCTTCCGCCTCATTACTTCTCAAAATGCAGTCAATCCTCAGCATCATACTATGGCATTGGGTAAGATGGCAAGTGTCAGGATCTTCCGCCTCATTACTTCTCAAAATGCAGTCAATCCTCAGCATCATACTATGGCATTGGGTAAGATTAAATACTATAAACCAACTCTATAATTTTATTACTAACTTAGTTTCCATAGAGCAGAAGACTTTACAATATATCTTAAAGCTACGTTTGATTACCTTCTATAGTTAAACGCATCGTTTTTAGGTCTCCTTTATCACCATCAAAAATATTTTTTATTATTTTTTATTTATTTTTTTTTTATTTTTAATATCTCAATGATCTTATAAAATTTTGTAGAGACGGAGATCAGGAGCCGTGAGGGTAATAAAGCATTGGAAAATATATATATATACATTTGTTTTAAATAATAAAACAGCCTGGCGAGCATTGATTCTTGTTCTGTTTTTCTTCACAGAAATCACTCAAAGCATACTTCATTTGGGTGTTATGCATGGTTATAATTATTGAAAATGTACATAGATATATGTATACACACTTGCTCGCATTTATATGCAGTTGCTCAGTATACACACACACACACACACACACACACACACACAAAAGAGTAGAGGGGACATGATAACAATATGTAAGATTCCTAAGTAAATTGACTAAGCAGACAAAGGAACATTGTTCAAAGCTAGGAACAGCATAACCAGGGTGGGGAGGGGATGGACATTAATGGAAACTAGAAACACAAATGAGCCACAGAGATATCATATGTTCACATATGATATTGAAACCGTTTCAGTGTGTTCACACGTAGTGTTCACACCTTTCCAAATATATCACACACCTTTCAAACACGCTATCTTTCTAGCTAATCATAATACATCTTGCCAAAATATATATTGCGGACAAAAAAAAACAGGAACGGCTTCAAATAACCAGATATTAAGCCTCTCTGCCATATTCTCAAGAAATACGGTAATACAGTTGTATAGAATAAAAAATACAGTTGTATGATAGTGGCAGCAAAAGGGAAGTGACTGCGCCCGTCTTACAGTGAAAGGCATTATCGCATGACTAGATCACACTTCACGGGTTTATTTAAAGTGCAAATGAGGTTTATATAAGAACACTCTCAAAATAGTAAACACTCTAATAAGGGTGTTAAAAAATAAGGGTGATTTAGTTATCTTTTTCTATAATGATGTCAGCACGTACAATCAGCTCGATGTTCAGTATGAGAAAAATTATAGATTTATTAATATAATGAACATGCTCTCTTATAACAAAAAAAATATATATAATTTAACAAATGTACAGAATGTTTCTACATCTAAAGCTTTAAGCATGTAAAGAAAATAGTTTATGTTTCAACACTCAATATTACATTTAATTATTAGTTAAATATAACTGCACACACACACAATATATATATATATATATATATATATATATATATATATATATATATATATATATATATATATATATATATATATATATATATATATATATATATATCAAGTATGCAGAATAACTACAAGGAAATATATATTTCAGTAATTCACTTATTTTGTAAAGTATTTATACATTTATAGAAACAGCAAAAAACTAAATACTTAAAATGTTAGGTTTAAATTTCCGTTTTCAAAATTCTACAACAATGGAAGCTCCTATTCCAAGAATACCGTAGTTACATACACCCTTTCAAGAATAACATTTACGTGTACAAATACAAGAATACTATTTTACGTGCACACGTTCAAAAACGCTGCATTACACAGGGTTTCTCTCTATCCTGGCAGTCTTGCTCTCCCAGCCTCAGAGTTCGATGTTTGTATATCTAATAAATGCTCTGAGTCCATCCTTGCTTTACTGTCCAGACACTCTGGCAACTTTTGCTCTCCTGGTCTGAGTCTCTCTCTTTCTCTTTCTCTCTCCTTTCCCCCATCTCTCTTCCTCTCCCTTTATGGCTCTCACCCTCTCGGTTTCTTCCCCTCCTTCCCTACCTCTCTCTCTCTTTTCCTCTCCCTTTCTCTCTCACTCTCAACAGGACCCTGCGCACACAACCTTCCCGACTAACGATTAATAATTGCCAATTCATCATTACATCAACGTTGGTGTATAGTTTCATTAACGTCATTGACCACATTTTGCTTCGTTGATACGTGGTAGAACGACACCACTGCTCCCTGCAGTTATTGTTGTTGTTAAAGATTCGCTACCTGGAACAAAAAGTTCCAAGTAACACGGGCTATGGTCAATGCAGGGAAGTCCTTTCACCTCTTGTTCCTTGGGTTTCACGAAAGGGATTTTGAGACGTGGGATTGACTGGGTTACTCTCGCATTACTTGTAAACGCGCTTTTAACCGAATGTAATTTCCGATAGATTATTGGCTGCTAGAAGAATTGGTGATATTAAATAGCAATTAATGATATCCGTTACGTAGTGCTTGGTTCCGCAAAATGTTATCAAATAGTATGGACACTGTAGTACAGTTTGCTCTAGCTAATTGGCATTCAGCAATCGGCCAATTAAAAGGCAAGCGCTTGTGGTGCCAATTGTCGAATGAAAACGTGGAAGATTTTACAATATATTTCATAAACTTTTTGCTCTGTAGGCATGATAGTAATTGCATTTTGGTATCCTGAATGTCCATTGAATCCATGTTACATAAAAAGTACCAATTGTTATATTTTCGTTAAATATCATAATACTTGACAAAAACTGTTACACTGAAGAAGCAAATAATAGTAGTAATGTTAAAATATTTACATTACTAATGATGTTTAACTGGTTCATTAAATGAAGGACAATATTGCTTCAGGTACCTGTGCACCTTTGGAAAGGCCCAGCTTGCAACAAGCAAATGCAACTAAGAATGTAGATAATAATGAATGTTTAAAACTAAACTTCTGTTTCCAACACTAATCTGTCACTGATCAGAGAATATAATTTTGTCAAATTTAAGAGATAAATCCCTGTTTAGTCCTGAGATCCGTTTAACATACTTATCATCATTACCATACTTCCTCACAAACTTAATCGAATTCAATTTTGACACTATTGACCACAGCGTAATAATGGAAGTGGTTTAATGAAAAAATATAGCAATAAACATTTATTTTTTCCGCAGACTAGGAAGACAAGTTCTCCCCATAAGGTGAGTTGTGAATACGTTCGATTATTGTGAATAGGTTCGATGCCTCTGCTTAACCAACAAATTTTAAATGGCCTCGGCTGTCAAGTCTTTAAAACGGGATACAGCCACGCCACTAAAGGTCGTGGATATAAAAAAGGTATTCGAACCAATATTAACAGTTCACTGTTCAACGAATCACCTACTATACTCGAGAGTTTCATCTGAAAAAGTTGGCAACCTTTTTCGTATTTTATTAGCAGCGGACCCGACGGAGGGCCTCGATCCCCAGACAGTCACTGCTAGTCCAGGCCATTTTAAGCCACAACGTACAGAATCCAGTGTTCTATAGTCTTACCAGAAACGCACAAACTTACACCTCCAAAACTAACCAACCGATGAAAAAGAGGATTTTTTTGTGATACACTGTTCATAGCACGTTGTATTTGGTATGTTGGTTACCATAGGCTGTGAGGGGGACTTGGTTGTGCTGGAGGTGTTACGAATGTTTGTTACAGCTCTTGTAATTGATGACGGTAATTTTGTTGATGTTAATAATGAGTCGGTTAATTATAGCCGATGTAACCATTCTCTCTCTCTCACCACAGTAACCCATGCCCCACTACCGTACCCACTCACCACAGTAACCAATGCCCCACTACCGTACCCACTCACCACAGTAACCCATGCCCCACTACCGTACACACTCACCACAGTAACCCATGCCCCACTACCGTACCCACTCACCACAGTAACCAATGCCCTACTACCGTACCCACTCACCACAGTAACCCATGCCCCACTACCGTACCCACTCATCACAGTAACCCATGCCTCACTACCGTGCCCACTCACCACAGTAACCAATGCTCCACTACCGTACCCACTCATCACAGTAACCCATGCCTCACTACCGTGCCCACTCACCACAGTAACCAATGCCCCACTACCGTACCCACTCACCACAGTAACCAATGCCCCACTACCGTACCCACTCATCACAGTAACCCATGCCCCACTACCGTACCCACTCACCACAGTAACCCATGCCCCACTACCGTACCCACTCATCACAGTAACCCATGCCCCACTACCGTACCCACTCATCACAGTAACCCATGCCCCACTACCGTACCCACTCACCACAGTAACCAATGCCCTACTACCGTACCCACTCATCACAGTAACCCATGCCTCACTACCGTGCCCACTCATCACAGTAACCCATGCCCGTCTACCGTACCCACTCATCACAGTAACCCATGCCCCACTACCGTGCCCACTCAATACAGTAACCCATGCCCCACTACCGTACTCTTGGTGCCCAGGAACGTGTCACCGTGGGCAGGACCTCAGCTGACAAGGGAAGACAATTGAAGACACATGTTCAGTGAGTCGATGATATCTTTGTTAAGTTATTTCTGATTGTCAGCAAGAAAAGAAAACAGTGGACTAATGGTGCGATATTTGGCTTTAGTTTCCAGTACACAATTAAGAGGTAACAGAATTGCCTTAAGACAATACAAATAAAATCTTACATTATTTTCTTAAAAATAGTTCTATGCCATTTAGGAAATAGAAAGTATAATTTTAATAAAACTTACACCTATTCATATATATATAAATATATATATACATGTACATACATATAGAAAAATGTCCATACACATTACACTGAATCATACCTAAACTCTCAGAGGAACGAGGCTGGTGATTAGTGTTATGCTTGTTGAAGTTTACTCCTTAGGCAAACGGGAGAGAGAGTTCGATACCGCAATACAACATTAATACTTTCTCCTAGATATATATATCACCTTGTGATCTACATAGAACCCTACATAGTGACAAACAATGCTGTGATATGTGACCTAATAACAGGGCATTTAAACCCTCTTCAGCTTTGAACCACAGTGTTAAGCAATTTCACCGTGATTGGCTGATAATTCCCAAATCTGTATCAAATTGGTGAGCCAATTATTTATTTTTTTTAGATACGAATTACTTTTTGTTAGTGTATGTGTTTGTTTCTTTACAGAATACTCTCGACAATTTAGTGCCTTTTTTAATTAATTAGACGTTTATTGACGTTTTTATTAATTAAACGTATATTAATAGATTTTTTACATATACTTAATTATGAATTATTACTCACACTACAAATCATCATAAAATGTGGGAAAATATTGAAGTCATTGAGCGGATAGAATCCGCATTCCTGAACTCCTTTGGCAAACGGGAGAGAGTTCGATTCCGCAATAAAATCATTAATATTTACGTCTCGATATAACACCTGGTGATATTCAGTTTCATGTATAATGTTTCTGTATAATGTTGATGCCGTTTTGGCAATGTATTTTACCTGAATTATACAAGAGGTTCTTGCCAGTGCTCACCATCGACCACAAAGCACAATCGCGCACTCAAACATCCCAAGTGCACACGCAAATCAGGCATGTGTGCACGCACACTGTGCAAGAGAGTACACACACACTTCACCCACATGTTCTGTCAAAAAAAAATTCTTCTAATCAACTATCAACTAAATTTCAATGATTTCTAAAAAAAATATATATTAACTGTTTTCCACCCGTTTGGTATCTTATCCATGCCAATTAAGCATCACCTTCATTAAATTGTAACATTAAAGGAATTAGTAATAGTAATTAAATTAAAAAATATTTGTAATTAGTCCTTTCAATTAGTCCATGAGGTACATCATCTAAGATATCCGAATAACGTGTAATCTTAGATGTAATAGTGACACAACATCTTAGATATCCGTGAGGCGGAACACCTGTGATATCCGTGAGGCGGAACACCTGTGATATCCGTGAAATACATCATCTACCAACAACCATTTCACTTCATACACACACCTCACCATACATGATATACACCAACGATAACATATACACTTAGCTGGCTACTTGTAAATAGTTATCAAACTTATCATCGTGTATATCCCATTTCGTCCTTTTTTGCTATTAACCTACTGGAAGCGAGTAACAGAAGGTGGATAAGCCCGGCGAACGTACGCTTGGCCTTTCAGATGCTGCTTAGCCAGCGTCCAGGAGCCTGGCGAAGCTTCAACTGACTCACACACTACTCTCTAGCGCCCCGTCCATGAGCGGAATCTCGTCAGGTTCCCGAAGAGCAGCGGAATCCACGTCCCTTGCGGCCTGCTTCCCTAATTTGCTCGCCTGCGGCTGCTGCTGCTTTAGCTGCTTCAGCTGTTGCTGCTGCTGCTGCGCTGTGCGGGCGTGATCGATTGTTGCGTAGATAGTCGCGTCCTCGCTCGAACGAACGGCCCCATTGGCGCCACTGCCTCCCTGTTTCTTGCCGGTCTTGTGCTTACTCTTCCCGTTGTTGAAGGTGAGTTCAGCGTACTCAACGTCGTCCTTCTCGGTGCTCTGTGGGATGGGAGTGAGACAGGTAAATGAGACAGGTAAGTGAGACAGGTAAATGAGACAGGTAAATGAGCAAAACTGCTGCGGATTTTAGTCTCGTCATTCAGAGAGGATCTAGAAGCGGAAACTAAGGCAAAAATGGTCAAGCCCACAAAACACATATCAAGCTTCTCAACTCACAAGATGTGAGAAAATCATTAGAGTTGGGTGCTGGGAATCGAACCAGTGTCCTTAATCCAGCGTTTGCTCCAGTGATTTTCATCACGAGATGGTCATTTCCTTGGGCATTCCAAGCTTCCTTGTGTATTCGAAAACATTCCCTTGAGTATGTTAGGGAACATTGTCATTAATTACAGGTATTCAGTTGTTAGAACGTTCATAACGCGCTTAACGCAAACTGTCAATGGTTCGCATTAATGAAACCCTTAACCTTAACGATGCCTAAGCAACAGTAGATGAAAACACTAAACTCTCTTTCATGTCTACTCGTTTACACAATCACAAACACACACATATATATATATTCACAAACATTTACGTCACGAAAACAAATCATGAGTTGACCAGACCACACACTAGAAGTTGAAGGGACGACGACGTTTCGGTCCGTCCTGGACCATTCTCAAGTCGATGGACTTGAGAATGGTCCAGGACGGACCGAAACGTCGTCGTCCCTTCAACTTCTAGTGTGTGGTCTGGTCAACATACTTCAGCCACGTTATTGTGACTCATCGCCTGCAAATCATGAGTTGACCAAATGGAAGTTCTGCCTGGCAAGATTGCAAGAGTTCTACGATAACCTAACATCAAGCGCTCTGCCTGGCAAGATTGCAAGAGTTCTACGATAACCTAACATCAAGCAAGCGCAATAACGACGGCTGGGAAGACAACATATACCCAAATAGTAAAAAAATAAAACTTTGACATTCTGTCGCAAACTCGACGAACATACTGGGGCAAGAGGACTGAAACCAGCGAAGGAATATGTGACATACCTGATGCAAAGGGTTATATAGAGAACATAAATCCAGACGGAGATGAGGTGGAGTACTGCAATGGTTAGTACAAAGTTACAAAGTTTCTTTCCTGTTCTCTGCAGATGTCAATGACCTGATCAAGGAAATCGCCTCAGTGTAGATTGATGTTTTCGGAAAAAGCAGATAAGGGTATTGCAAAATATTCAAAGAGCGAAATAAACGGTAGGAATGATTAGAAAGATGATCAATCCAGTTTTACCCGAACTAATGTAATAAAATGATAGTGAGGGAAGGAGGAAGCGAGGAGACAAGCACACAGTGAGAGAAAGGCAGGTCATGGAGACAGGAAATAACAATACTGCGGTAGTAGACACATCAAATCTGTGGCTAGAGACACATGTAAACAGAATCACATTAGTGGCATGTGAAAAGCTGGCAAATATTTAAGTAGCTTTCATTAATTTGAGCATATATAAAGCCTACATGACACTGTAAACTGTTTACATCAGGCGGGGATTGGAACATGACACTCCAGCTAGGAGATCTCCATCAGAACAAGCACAGGAGAAAAATTTACCAAAGGTTATGAAACAACATTGGCTCGGGAAATGAAAATATGAGAGCACGAGAATATGGCTTAAGGATCTTGCTGCATTAGAGAAGGATAAATGAATGTGACATATGATTCTAAAACAGAAATTTCACGATAAGAACGAAATGTTTATGATGTGAAACAACAGAACGAGATGAGAGTGATGGAAGCTTGAGTCAAGGGAATATGTGACATTTATGTAGCTCAGATTAATTAGCAAATATAATTGGATGTGATAGAAATCCAAAGCCTATTCATCCCATCATACACACACACACACACACACACACACATACACACACACACACACACACACGCAAGATGAGAGCCTTTTTTCCACAATACAAAGATTTAAAATGATCAAAGCTGTTTAGGAGAGTACAAACAGGGTGTGCCTTTTATCACAGCAAACATTCTCGATTCTGTGATAAACAGAGAGGTTTATCCCTGTGTTTATCCCTCTCCTACTGCCATCCCGATCAAGGATAATTAGGTATCTCGCAGTTAGTTTATACGAACTATATTTAGCTTCGTCGCTTTTGTCATCAGCGATACAGTCGACGACAGGCAGAAAAGATATTAAAAATATATATATATGATGCTGTAAATCATTATTACTGTATAAACGATAACAATAATGATGACACAGCTTATATAATGCACCCATAACAATAAAATCATTAAAAAAAAGCCTTTGTAAGTGTTATGATATGATAGTAAGGTAACAGTTTACCAATACCGGTTTGGGTATCCACGAGGTGTCAGTAGAACCGCAGTTTACCACACACTCGTTTGGGGATTCATGACAGATGTTCCTATAACAGCCTCAAGTTGAAACAAACGAATTATTTATTGTTATGAAAAACGAAAAATATTTGTATTTATGATGATTGATTGGGTTAGATTAGGGAAGATTTGGCTATCTTAGGTTGGATTAGGCTTTAATTTGGAGTGGGAATGTTAAATTTTAATTAAAGTCTATCTGCTAGGATCAAGAAATCCCTAATCTACATGTTTCAGGCAAGCAAACTAAATTTAAAGCTTCAATTTAATTTTTTCTAATAAAGTAAACTCTTTAGTTTACTTTACAAAGCATATATTTGTGCACTGAAATGGTAGGTATACCTCTCGATCACTCTACTACGCCATGCTGTTATTGAGTTTACATGTTCAAATTAATGCTTCAAAATTAAACAATGCAAGAACAGAGGAAATTAAATACCACTTGAGTTCTGCTGTGAATTATTACATTAACATTTACATTCCTGAAAATGTATAAATTTAAATGCGTTGATATAAATGAATATATGAATCTAATTCTACAAATGCTTAATAATCATATGAGCAATGGATATTTTTATTAATCTCGATTATGTGAATAAATTTTCTAGTGGTTATTGCAGATAATAAAAATCTACCGATATGACTATCCATAAATAAGAGTCATCACTGGGAGTTACGTTAGAAAAATATGTTTGTGATTGCTTTCAAATTAATACAAGCAGATCTCATGTGAAGCATTCAAATTATAGCATGGATATACTATCTGGGTCATTCAGATTAATGCACGTATATTTCATCTTCAACAAGCTTTTCCAATATGCTATACACACACACACACACACACACACACACACACACACACACACACACACACACACACACACACACACACACACACACACACACACACACACACACACACACACACACACACACACACACACACACACACACACACACACACACACACACACAGTGTTCAGTAACATGACTTTTCCAATTTCTCATATACGTAAATGATGCTTCAGAGGAAACATTCTCATTCTTCTCAATATTTGCTGATGCCAAAATTATAATGATGATTAAGATAGAGGAAGATAGCAAGAGGCTGCATGATAACCTGGACAAACTGAGTGCGTGACGTAACACGTATCTACTTGAGTTTAAAAAGAATGCATGTAAAGCAATGAAGCTAGGTGAAGAGAGCAGTAGGCCGGATACAAGGTTCCAAATGGGTGATAAAATTCTTCATGATTTACAGAAAATGAACAGTAGGGCGATATCACACCGTCTCTTGAAACCCACATTAACATGGATATCTTCAGAGGCATATGCCAGGTTGGCCAACATATGAGCCGCTTTTAGAAATATGTGTAAGGAATCATTCACAACCTCGCATATCACACATGTTAGACCAATCCTGGAGTATGTGGCACCAGTATGGAGACTATTTCTAGTCAAGCCCTAGATGAAGTTAGAAAAAGTTCAAATGCATGCCACCAGACTATTACCAGAACTGAGAGGTATGAGATTTGAGGAAAGACAACATAATTTAAACCTCACATTGCTGAAAGACAGGAGAGTTTGAGGAGACACGATTGCCACATACAAAATCCTCAGTGGGGGGAATTGACCAAGCAAGATTATTTAGCGTGCGTGGTACTCGAACAAAGGGACACAGGGAGGAACTGAGTACCCAAATGAGATACTGAATTTTAGTGTCAGTATTTAACAAATGGAATGTTGGGAGATGCTGGAGGCATTCTTCATACACAGCTTAAAATGTAGATGAAATTAAACACAAAAATTAGCTCAGAAATGTGTACAGAACAGATTCGATAACGAGAAACGAGACCAAAGAACTTGCTCAATCCTCGCTAGTACAAATAGGTAAGTGCACGCGTGCACACACACACACACACACACACACACACACACACACACACACACACACACACACACACACACACACACACACCTCCACCAAACACGCGTTCAAAGCAGTTTACATAACAGCCGTGCATGTAAAGACATCCCAACTTGCACTTACGTCATATCAAACAGGGTGCTGAAGAGTGCATACAAAATAAATACATTTGGAAGGCAGGGGAGCAGGCGGACAGTAGCTAGCAGGCATAAGAACAACAAGACTGAAAGAGAAATTTAATAAATATAGGAGACAGATCGGATTAATTGAAAAGTGTCACACGGTAAGGGGACGTAGGTTTCAAGGACACTGAGGAGAAAGAGGGAGAGAGAGAGAGAGAGAGAGAGAGAGAGAGAGAGAGAGAGAGAGAGAGAGAGAGAGAGAGAGAGAGAGAGATAGTAGACGGGAGGAAGGAATACGAGATGGAACAAGGGTAGATGGAAGTACATTTAAAAGAATGATAATGGCAGAGCCATTATTCCACGACCTAGCTATCTGTTAGGAAAGGAATGATACTATTTATACACGATATTATATAGAAGGAGAGGATTCGGATAACTAAGCTGGAAGTTATCTCCCCTCCCACTTTCTACTCCTTCCAGATTATGCTGCCAACTGGAAAGAAAATTAGGAAGTCATACCAAGCAGTGGTGAGAAACTGATATTTGATAGGAAAGAGAAAATGGTTGTTTTGTTTTACTAATACCACTAATATAGATCTATAACTACCATAGCTAATTCTACAAAAATGAGGGAGACGGTAACCGTCTCTGTTTATACTACCAATTAACCGGTTCATCAGGGCCCATGTCCTGTGAATGTTAAAATATAGTAAGTTAAATTTACACGAACAGATTCCTATCCAGTGGTTTCCCCTAAGATCTGTTTTTTTGTGATCGCAACTAAAACATCGAAAGAAAATGTCTCTTCACCTTGGTAGATGTAGAATCCTTGTCACACTTTGCTATTGCATCTATTTTCCTGAACTTTCAAGATATTATATAAATTTCTTGATGCTTGCATCCCAAATAGTTACGTCTCATCATGTCTTTGAATAGTCTGCGCTTCTTGACAGACAACAGGTTTCAGTGTTCGTCTTTCCAAAAATGGTTTATTTTTTTAATGATTTAATTAGTTGAGGCGTTCATCTATGTGCTCACTTCAGATTACTTTATTGGAGATTCAAATTTCGAAGCGAAGAAAACCGAATCGCAGAGCATCTTGACTGCTCCACACTATCGTATAAACGACAAGGAAGTCTATGCAGAGAAATAGAAACGATGTGAGATAAAACAGCAAAAACTATTCAAAATCAAGGGAAGTCAAAGAGAGCAAGAGGCCATCGGGAAATTACAGAGGAATCCAAATTGATTTTTCTCCTATGCAAAATCTATATAAAAAATTACTACTTAAACTACGCCCTTGCTAAGGGGGTGTTGGAACTATACATCTGTTAACATCACTATTTCAAGAGGCCCATGCAGGAGAGTACATAATAATTTACACTTGAGAAAAATTAGAGTGGTTCCAAATCTGCACGTGAAAGTAGTTCCATATGTGATCTGAAGGCATGGCAGAAAGTGCGAAAAATCCCCTTTGAAAAGAATAGGTGAAATAGGTACATTAAGAGTCAATTCTATCAGAGTCAAGGACCTAAGATTGTTCAATACGCTGCCTCTGAACATAAGGGCCAGAACTGGCCGACCTCTCAATGTGTTCAGATGAGAACTTGATATACTTTTCTAATGGATGCCTGATCAATCGGGCTATGACCCATACGTCAGACTGTGACTAGCTGCATCTAGCAGCCTAGCTGACCAACCAGGGGGGCTCAGTCAGAGACCGGGCCGCGGGGATGTTGATCCTTGGAACCATTAGAAGGCAATCACAAGGTAAAATCCTATAAAATGCATTACACAGGGGTAAGATATTTGTTAGATATTGGTATTTGTACATACGATAGCTAACGATGACCCATAAACGATAACTCTTTTCGTTATTCTCGGCAAAATGATATTCCTGACCTTTTGCTCTCAAATCTGACATGACTGGAAACAAAGTACATTTCCGTGGATTTATCTACATTCACGTTCATCCTTCATGTCTCTGAGCATTATATTATGGTCTGTTTAGGTTCCCACTGGATATATATAGGATCCATATCACATTCGAAATTGTTTCCTGAATTCTGAGCAACCTATAAATCTGTCACGAATCTTTTGTGGGTTTTCACATGCGAAGGAAGGTGAAAATTTCATTCACAGATATTTATTTTACCAATTATTTTTCTGGCGCATGTGGCTAATGGGCTCGTTTCGCTGAAGCACTTGTCAGCATCTTCAGAAGCAGAGAAAATGTGAATAGAAACTGGCAGAGATGACGGTATGTAACCCCATTGTAGGATGAGAAGAAGTGAGGGGTTATCTTGTCGAGAGGACTAGGTTTTCTTGCTCTGCATTCTCATTGGCCGGGTTTGGAGGGAGGGGCAGTTGCCGTAGTGTAAACTAGTAATTCTATCACGCTCTTGTAGAACGCATCATCAAACGAGTGATACATAAACGCAAAGAACTACAGTGAAGCTAAAGAAAATAGTTGCGTGTTCTTCACTAAATTATCAGAAACTTATATATTTATATATATATATATATATATATATATATAATATATATATATATATAATATATATATATATGTATATATATATCATATAAAGTTATAAGGTTGTATCGATGGAAAAAAAATTGAAATTTTTCTTCTACAGTCAAATGGACTGACGCCAAATAATTATAGGATGTCAATTCTATAATGTTTACCCACATACAACAAAGGTTATTTTAAACGAAGACTACTGTGTTATCGTATGTAAGTAACCTTTGAAACGTTCCTTACAGAGATCAGTGTCAGAAATTCCGTTTCAGTTGATGGTAAACGAACGTCAAAATAACAGGTTCGTTTAATAACGTCAAACGTCAAAATAACAAGTTCGTTTATTAACGTCAAACGTCAAAATAATAGGTTAAAAAATAACATTTTACTCCAATTAATTGAAGTAAATTGCCACCCAATTATAACAAATGACAGCATTGCAAAATATAATATTTTAAATTAAATTTTATTATTATTATTATTATTATTATTATTATTATTAGTGAATATCAATCATTTCACATCAGCTTATACTATGCGTGAAACTACTGACCTTTATAAAAAAAAGATAATTAATTCATTAGACAATATACTTTATTAAATGGCTTCTGTACCTAAATCAATACTTCCTTTACCTCAAAATTACCTCAAAATGCACCAATACTTCCTTTACCTCAAAATCAACAGTGCCAAATCAGCCATAATTATATATATTTTCTTATGGAAAATAGGAAGTGCATACGGCAATCAGCTCATCAAATATCAGATTAGCTGCGACACATTCCAACCAATCCTTCTGAAATGACAATACTTTTAGCAACAATTTGGTCAAAGGTACTAATATGTAGTGATGTAAGCCTCCACATGCAAACCAGTAAACCTCTATTTGTACTGTTAATTGCAGTTCACAATAAAGTACAAAATAAATGAGTCCGGACAAAATAAAGCTAAAATCCAAATTTATACATTCCTAGGCCAAGCATAACACGTATATGAACTAAATGAGGCCTAATATTATGCCGTTAATTAGGCCGAGGGTTAATAGGAGAGGTTAGGTTAAATTTTACATTTTATGTTGTGGATAAAAATGTTTCCCATTTGACCAAATTCAGTAAATACAAAAGTCAAGTTTCTGGTGGTTGGTCCATCACTATATATTAGTACTTTCGACCCCTATAGTTATTATAAACACTTTCCTTTTAGAAGGACGGGCTGAGACATTCACATCAGTGAAAAAATATACGCTACCAGAACACATGTATCCAACAGAGAAACATAGGACACAAGTATATACACACGAGAAACATAGGACACATCATATACAGACGACACTTAACATAAATGTGTATACACTAGACACATAGCTGATTTACTAGCTGTACAGAGAGAGGTGATATAGTGGGGCGTGAGGTGTTATAGTGGGCACAAGGTGTTATAGTGGGGCACGAGGTGTTATAGTGGGGCGTGAGGTGTTATAGTGGGCATGAGGTGTTATATCGGGGCATGAGGTGTTATAGTGGGGCACAAGGTGTTATAGTGGGCATGAGATGGTGGAGCCTACCTCGGAGTTTTTTGAGTGGCTGTCTTTGTTGTCGTAGGGCACAGTCTCGTAGATATTGGCGTGTTTCAGCTTCTGTGGAATGCCGTCCACATCTTCGTAAGTTGGATCTGCCGCCAGGTAATTGGGAAGAGCACAAATATATATATAATAGGTCTTCATGTGTATCTTTGTGAATATTTATTGTAATTAATAACTCCTGACCTGACCATATCTTCAAATATTATCCCCCATGCATAATTACCCCATTTGCTTGAGTTTCCTCATGTCCCTTAACCATTTTTCCTCGTTTTAAACCCCCCCTAAATTCTCCCGTTTATATTCTAAATTGGTGTATTTTTTCAGGCAACTAGTTTCCATTTGCTAAAAGCATGGTTTATCTATCACTCCTATGTCGTTGTTCTCTACATATTGATGGGTCCAAATTACTAATAAAAAAGTTCACTAACGACGTAACCTCAAAGAAGGTGTGGTCTTAATAATAATAATCCTAAATTTGACCCTTGTCCTCTTAACTCAGTGCCCTTAAAAACCCCTACTATTATTTTCTGCTCCTAATGGTATCAGGTGAGGAGGGTGACTGGGACGATACATTAGACAAATAATAATGGGGTCCCAAGACCAGTCCAGCGAGGACAAGACAGCAAATAGGTACAATGTTGGCGTGATATTAACATTCAGAGCAAATTTGGACTGCAAAGGCATGGCCTGTAGATACCTTTGACTCTAGGACTTTTAAGCAAGTGGTATGCTTTTCTGTAGAGTTCTGTAAAGTACTGATGTCTAACCTCAGGTTCTGTTAGCCATTTGAGGTGCTTGATTTTAAAGTTATTTTCAATTATTCTTTCATTATATGTCTTTTTTTCTGGAGTCCTCAGCGCTCTTGTTAATTCCTTTTGAATGTCCATAATGTGAATGATGTCTAAAGACGTTTCTCGGTGATATAGTGAAGATCTTGTGAGGAAATAGGGTTATGGGTGAGGGTGAAATGGACCAAACAGCCAACATTATTGAAACCAAGCGTTTAAGGTGTTTAAAACGCAGAGTGGACAGGTATGTAGGTAATATGGGGGGAAACGTGAACGGTACATAAGCAATTAAGGACTAACAACTCCACTGTGTTGATCCTTTCTTACGTTCATATCATCTAGGTCACAGTGGACGTGAACGCTTCTCCCTACCCTCCTCTCTGTAGATCATCTAGTTTCTGGAGCATATGATATATTGCGTGCGAAAGTAGGCCTATCTTGAGTACTACATCTCCAAATTCGTCTCCAAGTACCTGTCTTCCTGTTACCTCTTTGCTCTCCTCCTACTTTGGTCCCCTACCACTTTGGTCGCTCCTCGTGACGTCTTTCCATTTCGACGACATTTATTATTTCTCTAATATCTCCCTCATCCTTAACCACCCCTCACCTCACCCTCTCCTCTATCTCCCCCACCTAGGTCTTGGCAGAGTTGTGTTAGGTTCTAACTTCTCCTCCCTCTCAGTTTCTACTGCCTCCTTCCTCCTCCTCCTCCTCCCCTGAACAGTGAGTAAGATGAGTTTTGGTACTGCCTGGTGTTGGGTGCACGATAGGTTCATGCCTCAGGTGAGTCCTTGCTTCTTTCACTCATGTCCCAGATAACTCCTTACTTCCTTCAATCATGTCTTAGAGAACTCCTTACTTCCTTCAATCATGTCTTAGAGAACTCCTTAATTCCTTCACTCATGTTGTAGAGAACTCATTATTTCCTTCAATCATGTCTTAGAGAACTCCTCTTCTCACCTGAGCACCCTAACTTCTCGCTTCACATTTTTACCTGTGAACTCACTCAAGGCTAACTCATCCATGATCTCCCCACCTGTTATTTACCCTCATATTTCAACATTAAAAATTCCGCTTTAGTGTGTAACTTGTACCATGTGAAAACATCGCACTAAAAACAAGCAATTAATTGCAACAAACAGAAAACATACATGGAGAAATTTCTTAGTGTTCTACTCCACACTAAATGTCTATTCATTTTGGCTATATGTATATACTATTTCATCACCACACCACAAACCACACACCTGCTATCACCACACCACAAACCACACACCTGCTATCACCACACCACAAACCACACACCTGCTATCACCACACCACAAACCACACACCTGCTATCACCACACCACAAACCACTCACCCTTCCCCCTTACCTCCGAGCAGAACTCACCAGTGCGACAGAGAATAACATCAGGTCCATCGTCCGGGTCCTTGGTGTGTTGGAGAGAAGGGTGTGGGACCTTGAGGCTGGAGTCTTGTGGGTCCTTGGCCCTCAGGGCATCGCCTCGTAGCTTCATCACCACCACCACCACGATGGCCACCAACACCAGTGCCCCCACCACCCCGATCAGGACCCCCAAGATCGGCGTGATGGGGAAGATATGGGGGTGGCTGATCCCTGAGGAAGGGAGATTGAGAGGTAGGGTGATGGGGGGAATGGTATATTATTAGATCATGCTGGAGTAGAGAACGAAATCGTTATGTCTCAGGTCAAGCGATCTCGTTATTTTCTCTCTCTCTCTCTCTCTCTCTCTCTCTCTCTCTCTCTCTCTCTCTCTCTCTCTCTCTCTCTCTCTCTCTCTCTCTCTCTCTCTCTCTCTCTCTCAGGAACAAGCGTTGTGTTTGCTGATTCAAATTGTTAGCTGGTTAACACAACACATGTACCCCTCTATTAGACTGTTTTACAGGAACTTTTTTCGACGGATATTATAAAAGGAGGAAAGTTTCCTGAAAGATATTATTTATAGGAACGTTATCCCCACAGACACAAATCATAACAAACAATTAACAATTTACTACAAAACCAAAAAAACGGCCAACCTATTCATGAAGAACTCTCCAGACACCAAACAGAACGCCTTCACAAACCTCCACATGCCTTCACATACCCACTTGGGGACTATCAGCCCCAAAGACCTCAGTATATAGGCAAGACAACAATGTCTCTCTTTCTCTAGGCGATTAACAATGCACAATCAACAGGGCTCAATCAAGGAGCATATAATCTCCTCACACAATCAGACCATCATCAGAGAAATCTTAAGAAGCAGCAGAGAAGTTATCGACAGATACAACGACAATAAGAGACTCGACATCAGCGAGGCCCTACACATCAAGAAGTAAAAACTAACAATCAACAGCCAATTATCACATAATTACATTCTACCCACTTCAAGACCCCAAACTAACACAGAGGCAAAAAGATAAAACACGCAATGGTGTACCCATTAATTCACTTGTTCATCTCAATCATGTTCTGCATCACCTCACATCACCTCTTGCGAAACGTTTCTGGGCGTCTGACCATAAATAAAGTGTGAAAATGAACTTTGGGGAGTTAATTTTTCAGCTGCCATCGACAGTGAGGAAAAACATAAGAAATATTGAAAAGATTCGTGTTATAATCATTATACTTACATTATACACACTATATATATATATATATATATATATATATATATATGTGTGTGTGTGTGTGTGTGTGTGTGTTTGTGTGCATTTACTATATGTATCTACACAATCGAGCTATTAGCTGTTAGACCCCGTCTTTCTAACCAACTTATTTGTCCTCTCTTATGTCTATTACATATATTTCTCCAGGTATACCGCAGATACATACCCCAGAGCGCTGTCCATTCAGCCGCGAGGCGCCAATGGTAATGTGTACATATTTATCTAGTTGTACTTACCTAGTTGTGCTTGCGGGGGTTGAGCTCTGGCTCTTTGGTTCCGCATCTCAACTGTCTCAATCAACTAATGTACAGGTTCCTGAGCCTACTGGGTTCTATCATATCTACACTTGAAGCTGTGTATGGAGTCAACCTCCACCACATCACACTGTGTGTGTGTGTGTGTGTGTGTGTGTGTGTGTGTGTGTGTATGTGTGTGTATGTGTGTACTCACCTAGTTGTACTCACCTAGTTGTGTTTGCGGGGGTTGAGCTCTGGCTCTTTGGTCCCGCCTCTCAACCGTCAATCAACAGGTGTACAGATTCCTGAGCCTATCGGGCTCTGTCATATCTACACTTGAAACTGTGTATGGAGTGAGCCTCCACCACATCACCCCCTAATGCATTCCATTTGTCAACCACTCTGACACTAAAAAAGTTCTTTCTAATATCTCTGTGGCTCATTTGGGCACTCAGTTTCCACCTGTGTCCCCTTGTGCGTGTTCCCCTTGTGTTAAATAGACTGTCTTTATCTACCCTATCAATCCCCTTCAGAATCTTGAATGTGGTGATCATGTCCCCCCTAACTCTTCTGTCTTCCAGCGAAGTGAGGTTTAATTCCCGTAGTCTCTCCTCGTAGCTCATACCTCTCAGCTCGGGTACTAGTCTGGTGGCAAACCTTTGAACCTTTTCCAGTTTAGTCTTATCCTTGACTAGATATGGACTCCATGCTGGGGCTGCATACTCCAGGATTGGCCTGACATATGTGGTATACAAAGTTCTGAATGATTCTTTACACAAGTTTCTGAATGCCGTTCGTATGTTGGCCAGCCTGGCATATGCCGCTGATGTTATCCGCTTGATATGTGCTGCAGGAGACAGGTCTGGCGTGATATCAACCCCCAAGTCTTTTTCCTTCTCTGACTCCTGAAGAATTTCCTCTCCCAGATGATACCGTGTGTGTGTGTGTATGTGTGTGTGTGTGTGTGTGTGTGTGTGTGTGTGTGTGTGTGTGTGTGTGTGTGTGTGTGTGTGTGTGTATGTGTGTGTGTGTGTTTGAGTACACACCAGAATTGATGAAAAATTTCTCTGGTGCAGACAGTCTGGCGTTGGCTGTGAAGCCGCCGGGTGAACACTGACCAATTTGTTGCGGTTTCATGTATGCAAATCTGATCAAAGTTTGAAGAATGGCTTTACTTTTCATGAATAGTATAGCAGGTGTTGGGTCAGTAGCGCGCCCCGCGGACCCGCTCTCCTCACCTTAATCAAAAGTGTCCCCATTTTAGCGCCTCGAGCGAGACAAATGACTCTCGAATCATTCTCTCTCTTTCTCTCTCTGCCTGTGATGTATTTCAGTCTGCTTGATTGTATGTAAAACTGTCTGCTCGCTATAGGATTTTATTGCATCTCTCTCTCTCTCTCTCTCTCTCTCTCTCTCTCTCTCTCTCTCTCTCTCTCTCTCTCTCTCTCTCACTCTCTCACTCTCTCTCTCTCACGCGCCAGAATGCCTTAGTATGGGGTCACTTCTTCAGTATATGGGAATGAATTAAGTGAGAGTAATTTAAGTAACTTAGCTTTGTGGCCATATACTTGTAAATACGTATATGTATTTAAAAATAAAGAGGAAAAACGCCTTTTTATATGCGTCTGAACAACACACCTTCCAACTGAGAAGCAAGCTTAAAGCAAGGCTTAAAATATTACACAAGAGACTTGTACTCAAGCTTGCAAAGAAGGCTAAAGAGGCATAGATAGCCACGACAGACGAAAGTTACAATCATGTCAGAAAGAACTAACGCTAGAAGCAGTCATTCGAGCCTCCATATAGCACATCCAAGTATGTATAGGCAAGAACACACACACACACACACACACACACACACACACACACACACACACACACACACACACACACACACACACACACACACCCTACTTACTACGACATAACGTAATAGTATTTGCCAATGGTAGATATACGACCCAAATAAAACTCGTACCCTTGAAAGGAGGGAGAGACATGTAGAGCGATCGAAAATGGAATTCCGAGTCGGCTTGAATATCAAGAATTCCAAATGATTCCTTAACAGCACACTCCTTTACCCTTTAAGAGACAAGATCACTTGCTCTTAAAATATATTTATATATTTAGGTGTTACGTGCACATTTCGCCATTCATTTGGATTAGCTGTCCGTTCAGTCGTGTCTGTTAAGGTAATTTCTGCCTTTGTAAACACAAAAAAGGTTGTTTTACCATGTTTTTGTAAATATTTTTTCAGTTCTTTTTTCTCCAGTAAATCTCTTTGTAAATACATACTCTATTAGGTCTCCTATTTATCGTGTTTACACCCCATTTTTGTTGTTCTTATTGAGATTATTTATCCAAGGGGATGGGAAAGAAGGGGTCAAGGGGGAGATGTGAGAAGATGGGAGGGGGGGGAGGTGGGTGAAGGGGGGAGGGGAGGGGGAGAGACAAGACTGTCCCGGGCCTCACCGGAGATCCGTTCTAGTGTTTTCAATATCATTTTATTTTTGCAAAATTTATGCAGCAAAGGGAATTTTTATGTTAATTTTATTTCTGTTGTATATTTTCTAATGCTATATTTCGTGCTGCGATATTTCGTTATACGATATTTCCTGATGCGATATTACCTGGTGCGATCTTTCTAAAAGCAATATTTCCCAATTCAGTATTTAATTTAGCGATATTTTCTGGTGTGATATTTTGTGGTTCGATTTTTCCTGATATTTTAGATATTCTCTCGTTGCTGTTCCCGACATTGTGTCATTTTCATCTCTATATCTTCCTGTTTGTCCTCTTTATACTCGTTTTCCAATTCAGTACACAGGTAGACAGGAAGAGAGAGAGATAGAACGAAAGAGAAAAACAGCCCGTTGATGAGAGAGCAGAACAATAAAAACAGACGAAGACAAAACGACAGCTATAAAGAAGAGATCGGTATAGATCCGAAACGAGATGCAGATGAAGAAGAACAAATGAGAGTGGTTGAGGTAGGGTCGATGGTCTCACAGAATACATATATCTCTTTTCCCCTCTCGATATGATTTAGTATTTCAGACGCTCGGATGCTCTTCACTAGAGCTGCTTTTCCCCCCCTTCGATAAAACCAACAAGAGGAGCGATCAGAAGTTTTATGGACTACCAAGGACCTCCTCCTTCTCCTTCTTCTCCCCCTTCTTCTTCTACCCCCTCCTTCCCTCGGGTATCATACAACCCACCAACTTGTCAAATATGCAGAACGGAACAATGAATACACATTGGCTGGCGACGGCCAACATCTGACGAGGAACGTGGCTTGGGACATGAATAAGGAACCTCCCCCCCCCCTCTAGAGAAATGTTAAGAAGGGACATTCGAAGCAAGCCAATGCTTTTATCCACCTCCATTTTTGTTTTGTCCTCCCCTTTTCTATGCACACAGCATCCGCTTGCGGGTACTGAAGATAAGTGTTTCTTCCTCTTGTAGCTCAGGATTCTTCAATTGCAATAGTAGACTCAATTGAAAATTGAGTCATATTGTGTTATTTGCACAATACTATCTATACAACAAACAGAGTTTTTAAAAATTTTGAAATTTCGCTACATACCCACATACACTTTGTGTATTTTTTTTCTTGCACTAATTATACCAAATTGCATTCCGTTCACACATTTCGATATCTTTAGTCTATTCAAACACAATAAAAAATTCACGAGACACTATGTTGACGAAGGAAAGACGAGCTTTCAAACAGGAAAATACATCAAGAATACACAATGCAATTACAATAATGTGATATATCTCTGAAAATCTCCGTAGCAGGAAGGTGGGATCAAACCAAATATTTACTAAGAGTGAATGACCGAGTAGGAATGTGAGTTATGCTGCGGCACGTAACATAGCGTGCTTTGGGATGCTGGAACGCCGTACCTTCCCAATTCATCATCATCTCCCGGGTGTGAGTACGATGCTGGAGGCATGCGAGATAAAAAAAAAAAGCAAGAATGAAATCAAATGAAAGAATTTACGCTACGTTAACGTACGATTCAGATAAACGACAATACTCAAATCTTAAGTCACTATCGCACTACAATATAATTGAACGTATTAGAGGTAATTTAACATTTATGAAACAAATCCTTTTATTTAACGTTGAAAACACAGGTAAGCTTAGGACTGTGAATTCACACAATTCCACTTGTCTGGTGAGGGGATGTAATTAACAGAAGGAAGCTCTGAGCTAATATGAACATCACACGCCAGCCTCTCTTCAACATCTTACCAAAATTTGCAAAATTACATCACAAATCCGGACACGAGACATATTCAGTAACGTTCCATCTGCCAGATGATGTTGACAGAAACTAATCATGCATAACTCTCTCACCAAAACAAATCAACAAAAGCAACCTAATCAAGTCGAGCTCTTTCCTGCTCCTTATTAGATGCCGAGATAATTAATCATGACGAAAACACGCCGTCCTGTATCAAATAGTTATATTATCTGTGTATTTCGTGTACATTGTGTATGATTTGGTGTGTATATCGGAGAGATGTGTGGATCAAACTTCGCAGTGTATAATGCGAGTGCAAACAGGTACTAAAGTTAAGTTAGTGGATATCGAAACTTTAATACATAACATTCCCGAACGAAAAATATATTTTAGTTTTTGAATAGTGAAATACATTAAAGAAATTGCTTATGGTTAATGAATAGAGCTTTTTAGCCTCGGAATAGAAATCTAGAGCATTCGAAGGAATCAAATGAGATACGAATAAGCAGCGTGTTAATATATATATGTAAACAATCCTTGAAATCTAGAGAACTAGTGGGATTCCAACTGGGAATTTGAAGAGCGCCAATCCCGAGTGCTAGCTACTGTGCCACTATGGCACAACAGCAGTTTTATATTTGTGGAACACAAAATACTATGCAGTTTTCCATTGTATTTTGTGTTCAGCAGATTTGTCACCGCAGAACACAAAATTCTATGGAATTGGAGGAAATTAATCCCAAATTTTGCTCCAGAATGTCGAAGCAATGATGACGGGAAAACTTGGTTGGAAGTAGTAGTTAATCACCCTTGGAGAAAAGAAGCTCCAAGGATGTGATGAAAAGTATTCTAGCAGTAAACAGCCCAACAACTCTCTCTCCCATCAAGCGCACATAAATTATATAATTAATTTTAGGAATATAAATTAGAATTCATTGAAGAACCTAGACATTAAAAAAGGGTGTTTACAGCCATATTAATCTATGATGAATGTGTTAAGTATTATGGTAGTGTAAAAATGAAACTACACTTGCTGGTAGAGTCAGCAAAAAATATGTCAGGTTAATGCTGATAATAGTTTTAAAAAATTACGTGATAAAATTCCCAAGTACGTTAACTAATTAAGGGTTAACAGATCGACACAGGAGCTGAAGCTCAATCTCCGCCAACACAGGACAATGATACGCGGAAGCATCCCATTAAAAAAATTATACATAAAACTCTACGGACAGAACGAGCCGCGTTTCACTTACGGTTCCTCTGTCCTGGCAGCGAAGGCAATGTAAACCCGTGAAGGGTTCGCTGGTCACTCATTCCTTTGATATTCTCCGCGTACATGGCCAGGAGATAAGACGTTCCAGGATGAAGACCCTCTATCGTGAAGGAAGGTTCTACCATCTCGGTGATATTGAGCATCATATGGCGGGTTTCTCCATCGAACTCAAAGACCTGAAGCACAAATTGCTGCTCCAAGCCGCCGTCATAGCCAGGAAGACAATCAACGAAGATCGTGTTAGTAGTCTGGTTAGTGATGGTGCAGTTCTCGAGGGCATCAGGCTTGCCTGCAGGAACCACCGCAAAAGTACAAGCATCTGACTGGTCGCCCAGCTCGTTGGAGGCGAAGCAGAGAATGTTGCCGTAGTCGGTCTCTGAGTTCACTTTGTAGTTCAGAAGGGAGGTGCGGTCTTGTACTGAGAAGCTCTCTTGGGAGATGTTCACCAGCTCTTCCGTCGAAATGAAGTACCAGCGGAATGTGACTTTGCCCGGGGAGGCGTTAACACGACACTCCATCTGAACTTGGTCGTGTTTGGCGGCGCCAATCACTTGCTTCCTTGTGTCTGAACACACTGGAACGTCTGTGACAGGGAGACAGGTACCATTAAATACATAAATATAAAACATTTCAAAGCTAATACATCTCACTTAATAATTTTAATTATTTCATTTGCTGGTATTTTAATAAAAATAAATTAACAAGTTTTGTTACCTATAGGTAAGGTAAACAAAAATTCGAAGATGATGGTGAATTTACCTCTTCTTCCCCTAGACTCATGTTTCTTTGCCGACATTCACAATACTCTCACAATAATTCCAGCCTTTCACTATCTATCCATCGCCGCCGACATAACTAATCCACAGCTTACCACAATCCCTATCCATACATCAACAACACATTCTTTGGTATATATCGCACGAAACACACTTCGTTTCCACCACAACCATTCGGATATCACTAAGCTCACAACTATTCGAAAGCACATCCCCCCCCCCCCCCGACTACCATAAACATCCCCAGCTACCCTTACTCGCACTACTTCACTACTCACGTAGTGAAGAAATGAGTATTATTATACATCAAAACCAGACCTCACCACCTGCACCCTTTATGATACCTTAACAGTATGATCCATTTTAACTATATCGCCAGCACTATTTTAACCCAGACCCCCAGGCATTCATACATACCCAGCCATACACCCAGATATACTCACACCCGTCCATACACACTATACTTACACTTCACATTGAGCACTATGGGGTGGCTCTCTCCGTCACCAATGGCGTTGGAAGCGACGCAGGTGTAGAAACCAGCATCTTGTCTCTGTATATCATTGAGATTGAGCTTATGTCTGGTGATGACAATGCCTCCTGTCACGTTAGGGTGGATCTGGATGCCCTGCGGACCATCAGAGCAGAAAAAAAGAAATGTCAGTTCAGTTCTTTCGGTTTGCCACTCGGCAAACATCCAGCCTTTCAGCCAAAACTACGAACATACAGACACCAGAAACCCGTCTAAACAGTTGAGTCCGATGCATGGAAAATGGGAATATTTTTGATCTGGTAATTTTCTTTTTACGTTGCATTTGTTACGTTGGTTACGAAACGTCAAAAAAACGCGGCCTATAAGTGATTTTAGACGGGTGGGTCAGTTTACTATCTTTTAATAACTAAGAGTCAAAGTATAATCTAAACTAACTCATAACGTTTTTGTTACTATTTGTACGTTTTTGCAACGTTGCGGCGACGTATTGGCGGTATAAACTGCGTCTGGTTGACGTTCATTCAGGAAGGCGTTGAAGAATAATAACTAAATGAGAGTGGATAGACGCGCATGTGACACTAGAAGTAACAGATGTGGCAACTCTCATTTATCTACGTCGTTTGAGTATATGAGAATTATTCCGTATTAACAATATATCCCAAATTCACTAATAAAAAGGGCGCTTACATCCATTAAATGCATCTTTTATACATCTTTGTATACATCCTTTTTTTTACAAACAGGAATTTTCGGATGAATTGAGGGATTATACACCATCAAACCTAACTCAGGATTCGCCATTACACTAGCCGAACAACCTAAGAAAGCGGCCCGTTCTCCGGGGCGTTCAAAACGTCTTCAAAATGATGTACTAAATTTTCCGAAGCCTAACCTTACCAAAGACCCACAAATATAAAATAAAACATCGTCAATTTTGCGAGCTGCTGTGACTTTTAGAATATCTTACTTTGACGTTGGGGGATTTTGACGTCAAAATACTACGATGTCTTATGCGAGAGGACAGGTTGTACAAAGAGGCTTAACCGGAGGGGACAAAGCCCAGTGGCAGAGTGAGTGACATCACTCATCCTCTTGAAAGGCTATTTTTTTTAGAACACACAGTCATGTTATCCGTCAGTGGCATACTTGAAATATACTTGAAAACGGTGACATACTTGAAATATACTTGAAAACAGTGACATTCTTGAAACTTGGATGCAAAAGGTGAACCAAAATACTGAGTTACATAGAAGGTTTTCACCAGGTGCTTCAGGTTTATTTTTTTTTTAATAAAAACCGAAATTCTTAAATAGTTTACCGTGTTGTTACCCAATGCTGAATAAAAGGCTTACACATACAACAAGAGGCCATTAGTATATGTATTGTATGAGTGTTGATCAGACTTCTCTTTAGCAGCACATTTCTACAGTCAGTTCTCGTTCTCGGGAAGAACTCGTTCTTACAAAGGCATTATTTCTATAGCGTTTTACACTATGTAATGGACACTTTTAATTATAGAGCATATTATTTTGTTTCTTACGCACAGTTAAACATTCGTGTACAATACCTAGGGTCTATACCGATGGCAAGACAAAGATTCAAATTAAAATTTACGCATTTTAATTTGTTTTTAAAAGGCATAATGATTTTTTAAACATCTCATTACCTATGATTTGGATTTTTTAGGGGCTTAAAGCCATCCTTGCAAGTGTTCGTGACAATCTTTTCTTATCATATTCATCATTACTGCATCTAAAGTACAATTCTACGTAAAATATTTATACAAATGTCTGTGATTGGTGCAATAGCTTCATCAGGCCATTGGAGAATTAACACATTTTGCCTGATGTTAAAAGTTTACTTTCTAGTTTAGAGAAATCGACGAATTTTGATATTTTTTTTAATTGTTCGTTTTTTTCGTCGATTCGTTGATATTGTAAAGAACCTAAGGACATGGACTTATCCTTGAGGAACCCCACTTGTTACATTCAGGAGAGAGAGAGAGAGAGAGAGAGAGAGAGAGAGAGAGAGAGAGGGAGAGAGACAGCCAGAGAAAGAATGAGAGAGAAAGACAGACTGTGAACTTAGATATGTCTAAAATGGAGCGAAAGAGACAAAATGATGAACGAGACGTGGTTGGGTCACATTTAGAATAGAACAGCTAAAGTGAGTTAATAAAGTGATATAGTACACTTCTCTGAGAGATAAGTTAACGGATCCCTCTAAAGATAATGGCCCCCTGAAGCAGAGGAAAAAGGGAAATGCGATATGATAATGGATGATCCTTGGAGGCGACAACACAAGCAATGTAGAGAGGGAGGATTTTAAGCGAAGTTCCCTGAGATTAAGCGCTGCTGAGTACTTTATACAATACCTCTCCTGTACTCATTCTCCTTCAGTGTGCTATACATGAATACAGGATGGTGAATGGGGAACAGTGAACACTGATATGTGAATACAGGCATTCTGCTAGAGCACTCTCTCCCGATAGTTACAGTATGCAGTACATTATCGTTTCCTTAAATACAGCAAGTTTCCTAAGTTGTTTACAAATTTGGAAATTAAAGACAAAACTCCCACTTGGTTTGTCTAAGTTCCAAGTCAAGTTCAACTTGTATAACAAAAATTCCTGCCTCTCATCCTGAACCTTCAAACAAATCATATTAGTCTTTCTAAGATGTGCATGTTCATCCACTGTGAATGTTCATCCGTCGTGAATGTTCATCCACGTGAATGTTCATCCACGTGAGTGTTCATCCACCTTGATCTTCATTCACGGGAATTTTCATGCACTAATATGTTCATCCATGTGAACGTTCTTCCCCTTATATGTCAAAATAAATGCATAATTCTATAAAAGTTCATTACTAGAACGCTTCTGTTCATTTTCATTGAATGAAGATATAACCGTTTACTCTTGATATATAATAAGATTTAATTAAAAAGTCTGTGAATTCTCCTTTAGATTTCGTCTTTGTGACTTAAGAACTTTCTAAATAAACGACGACTTAAATATATCTTTAAGACAAATAAGTTGTTAAAACTTCCCTTGATATATATTTATAGAGAAGAAAAAGATTATATTATAATAAGATTTAATTCTGAATCATTTTATGAAGGGTTTATTTACATGTTTCAAGAATTAAATCCTAGATAAATTATCTCTGAGAAGCGATTATGAACATCTTTTTGAAATAAAACTGTGAAAGTTCTTTCTTGAAATATATCTATATACCTTCGTCTTTGACAGGAGAGGTATACACATCTGCTCAGACACATACACGTCTGATGTGGGAGGGCATTTCCTATATATATATATATATATATATATATATATATATATATATATATTCACACTGAACATTCATATAAACATTCATATAAACATCTACCCTGATAGAGACTTATACACATCCTCCCAGAGAAATACTATCAGCATCTTGAGATGAATATAATGATGTCCTTCTTCAAATCTTCCTAATCAAAGGAATACCACGAACAACAGAACATTCATACTAGTAAATCCCATCATCATCCTCATCATAAACATCCACACAGTCATTAATGTGAACCGACCAAAATTATCACACAAACAGGAAAAAAATTGTACGTATTTTAATTTGCTTTGAAAAGGCATAAAGAGTTTTTTTTAAGCATCTCATTACCAGGTGATTTGGATTTTTTAGGGGCTTATTTCTTACGTTCAATAAGAATGAATTATTATTTCCCCTCCCGTCGAAAATCGGTTCCACAAAATTATGGATATAATTCCTTCGCTCGTCTCACGTCTCAGGTACGGTAATGACCTCCTCATTAGCGTGTGACACCGGAGAACTCTTGGAGTAAGCTAGGAGAAGCAGCGGGTGCAAATTTATCTCCTTCAGGAAGATTATAGAAAGATGAGGAGGAATAAATCACTCCTTCAGGAGGATCAAAGTCGAGATGTGTGTGTGGGGAGAAAATTTATCTCTCCTGAAGGAAGATCAGGATACGTGGCGTTAAAATATTCCCTTCCTTCAGGAGGTTCAAAGGCAGGTGAGAGGGAGAATTTTTCTTTTAAGAGTGATCAAAGACTATCTTGGGCTTAAATTTCTCCTCGCTCCGAGAATCAAGAGTAGGTAGGAGGATGAAAACTTCATTCCATAAGATGGCTCACATAGTGATGCTGGAAGTTCTCCAGTTTCCCGAAGATCAAAGAAAGATAAACACTGGAATCTCAGAAGGAGAGAGAGAGAGCAAGAGAGAGAGTGTAAGAGAGAAAACAGAGAGAGAGTGTCTCTCTCTCTCTCTCTCTCTCTCTCTCTCTCTCTCTCTCTCTCTCTCTCTCTCTCTCTCTCTCTCTCTCTCTCTCTCTCTCTCTCTCTCTCTGTGATGATGTTGAAATATAAAGCTTATATGGAAAACGAGTTTCGCATTATTTAATTCACCTTTCGATACATTAGAGAAGATTGACACATATTTATCACTTTGAGACAAGTCAGTAAATAGTAGGAAGGAATTTTTTTCTATTATTATGACGAAAAAATAAGAGGCGATGAGAACGATCTCTCTCAATGGAAGGCTCTCGGAAATCGAGGCCGGTGGAGCTTATCCAATGCACGAAATAAGGGAGGAATTTGCCTTCATATGTAAACAAAAAACATTACCCCCAACACACGCAGATATGCACACACATACGCACACACGCACGCACGCAAGAAAACACCTGTTGTTTACCGTGTTTTATTCGTAGCATCCAAGATGATCAAAAATTAAACGTGACGTTCACGAGAAAGTGACGTTTAATTTGATCACTGTCAACTGACAGTGCCTATACAGCCACTGTCAGTGCCTGTGTAGGCCCTGATAGAACCAGAGGCACTAACAGAATAAGAGCCAATGACAGAACTACGTAGGTCGCTCTAATAAGCTGCATTCCATTCGACTAATGAGCTCCTCCTGATCTTAATATCTGTCACTCGCGAATGCGGCTTTATTGACATTGTAAAGACTCGCATCTCGAACCTGGGTCTTAAGAGACGTCGTGGAACCCTGAGCGTCTCTGTCAACTTAGCTAGCGCACCAATACTCGCTTATTCGTACCGACGTCAGAGAATGGAAATTGTGCAAGGAATAGGTCACAATGGCTCGAAACA